GGGGTGGGGGCGACAGGTGAGGGGTCTGGGATGACAGGGGATGGATGGGGATGACAGGTGAGCGGTCTGGGATGACAGGTGATGGATGGGGATGACAGGTGAGCGGTCTGGGATGACAGGTGATGGATGGGGATGACAGGTGAGGGTTCAGAAGTCAGGATGGAGATGAGGAGGTAGCGGAGGGTGGGCGGCGGCAGATTGGGGAGGATTTGTCGGCTTTGGGAGAAGCTTTTGCTAAACATCCTCATCCGCCGTCATCCTTCTTCCCGCGAGGAGATTACACGGAATTGCGGCATTTACTGGTATTAATGTCTCTGCTCCCAACCCCCGATCATTCCATCCGCGGGGACGCTGGTAACTGGTTGCCGGGGGTTACGTCATCTTCTAGTCATACAGGACGGGTCACTATGGAGGGGTCTCCCCACCTCAGTCACCGTATTCACCCCCATAAAGCAGCCTCACTCAGGGGTCAGAGGTCACCCGATGTCTGATAATTGCCGCCATGTCACCTGCCGGACTCCCAGAGAGTGAAGTAACGAAGCCGCTCGGCTGGCGGCAGGGTTGCGATTGATTGGCGGTGCGCCCCTCCCCCCTCTTGTATGAGGAATCGGTAACTGGCGACAATCGCATGGGCCGCGCTGAAGAAGGAACGATCGGCCGCAGAACTCGGCGACCCAAAGCGCTGAAATCGCATCTTAGTGACAAATCGCTACAAAATGGCCGTCTGACCCCCCCGAAAGATACAATTGTATCCATCACAAACTCCCGCACACTCTCAGCCAATCAGAGCTCTGCGCTATAAGTCAGCTGACCCAACGTCACAGGGCATGAGAGAAGAGTGATGACCAATCAGAGGCTGGGGGCGGGAAGGTGACCAGGCCGGATTGCTGTACTGCAGTGAAGAAGAGAGAAGTTGCTACGCGTTCCGGATCACATGACTGACCAAACACAACTGGAAATCCTGCGTCAGGTGATACTGGTCACGTGACTGACCGAACATCACTGGAAATCCTCCGTCTGGTGATACATGTCACGTGACTGACCGAACACAACTGGAAATCCTCCGTCGGGTGATACGGGTCACGTGACTGACCGAACACAACTGGAAATCCTCCGTCGGGTGATACGGGTCACGTGACTGACCGAACACAACTGGAAATCCTCCGTCGGGTGATACGGGTCACGTGACTGACCGAACCCAACTGGAAATCCTCCGTCAGGTGATACGGGTCACGTGAAGAGGTTTCAGCAGCATTTGGAGGTTTTTCTGAAATTCGACAAAACTGAATAAAAATAAAGGCGGAAAGATGAATAAATGAAATAATCCCGGCCAGGTCACTATCTGCATGGAGTTTGCATGCTCTCCCTGTGCTTGTGTGTGTTTCCTCCCACACTCCAAGGACACGCTGGAAGGTTGATGTTGGCCCTCCATGTATGTACGATAGGGACCTTAGATTGAGGGTAGGGACTGATGTGAAGGTGCACCGTGTAAAGTGCTGCGTACATTGTCGGCGCTCTATAAATACCTGTAATAAATAAAATATTACCAGAAGGGTCGGAGGTCAGAGGTCAGAGGTCAGACGGGTCTCTTTCTGGCAGAGAATTCGGCACATTGGAGGTTTTCATGGAGCTCTGGTGACCTCTGGTGGTGAAAGGGAAAGTCGCAGCCTGTCACTGGCCATTCCTGAGACTTCCTATCACAGGAGCCGTTGTCACTGTGATGACACAATTATCTGATCCCTGGACTCCGGCCACCTCACTGCAGCCAATAAAGTATCAACCTCGGGGCCCATTCACACCATCGCGGTGCGTCCCGGCATGCAGCAACATGCGTTCCATGACGTCACTGCCTAACACCCCAAAAGCCACTGGGAGCATAGACCAGTCCTGCAGAGCATCGCACCCCGTACTTCACTGCCATGTGTTCTGCTGCAATACACCCCCAGCAGCAAAGTCCATTAGTGTGCCACGCAGCATGCACATAATGGGGGGGACATTAGAGTGTAAGCTCCTCTGTACAGAGACTGATGTGACTGTGGGGGGAGGGGACATTAGAGGGTAAGCTCCTCTGTACAGAGACTGATGTGACTGTGGGGGGAGGGGACATTAGAGGGTAAGCTCCTCTGTACAGAGACTGATGTGACTGTGGGGGGAGGGGACATTAGAGGGTAAGCTCCTCTGTACAGAGACTGATGTGACTGTGGGGGGAGGGGACATTAGAGGGTAAGCTCCTCTGTACAGAGACTGATGTGACTGTGGGGGGAGGGGACATTAGAGGGTAAGCTCCTCTGTACAGAGACTGATGTGACTGTGGGGGGAGGGGACATTAGAGGGTAAGCTCCTCTGTACAGAGACTGATGTGACTGTGGGGGGAGGGGACATTAGAGGGTAAGCTCCTCTGTACAGAGACTGATGTGACTGTGGGGGGAGGGGACATTAGAGGGTAAGCTCCTCTGTACAGAGACTGATGTGACTGTGGGGGGAGGGGACATTAGAGGGTAAGCTCCTCTGTACAGAGACTGATGTGACTGTGGGGGGAGGGGACATTAGAGGGTAAGCTCCTCTGTACAGAGACTGATGTGACTGTGGGGGGAGGGGACATTAGAGGGTAAGCTCCTCTGTACAGAGACTGATGTGACTGTGGGGGGAGGGGACATTAGAGGGTAAGCTCCTCTGTACAGAGACTGATGTGACTGTGGGGGGAGGGGACATTAGAGGGTAAGCTCCTCTGTACAGAGACTGATGTGACTGTGGGGGGAGGGGACATTAGAGGGTAAGCTCCTCTGTACAGAGACTGATGTGACTGTGGGGGGAGGGGACATTAGAGGGTAAGCTCCTCTGTACAGAGACTGATGTGACTGTGGGGGGAGGGGACATTAGAGGGTAAGCTCCTCTGTACAGAGACTGATGTGACTGTGGGGGGAGGGGACATTAGAGGGTAAGCTCCTCTGTACAGAGACTGATGTGACTGTGGGGGGAGGGGACATTAGAGGGTAAGCTCCTCTGTACAGAGACTGATGTGACTGTGGGGGGAGGGGACATTAGAGGGTAAGCTCCTCTGTACAGAGACTGATGTGACTGTGGGGGGAGGGGACATTAGAGGGTAAGCTCCTCTGTACAGAGACTGATGTGACTGTGGGGGGAGGGGACATTAGAGGGTAAGCTCCTCTGTACAGAGACTGATGTGACTGTGGGGGGAGGGGACATTAGAGGGTAAGCTCCTCTGTACAGAGACTGATGTGACTGTGGGGGGAGGGGACATTAGAGGGTAAGCTCCTCTGTACAGAGACTGATGTGACTGTGGGGGGAGGGGACATTAGAGGGTAAGCTCCTCTGTACAGAGACTGATGTGACTGTGGGGGGAGGGGACATTAGAGGGTAAGCTCCTCTGTACAGAGACTGATGTGACTGTGGGGGGAGGGGACATTAGAGGGTAAGCTCCTCTGTACAGAGACTGATGTGACTGTGGGGGGAGGGGACATTAGAGGGTAAGCTCCTCTGTACAGAGACTGATGTGACTGTGGGGGGAGGGGACATTAGAGGGTAAGCTCCTCTGTACAGAGACTGATGTGACTGTGGGGGGAGGGGACATTAGAGGGTAAGCTCCTCTGTACAGAGACTGATGTGACTGTGGGGGGAGGGGACATTAGAGGGTAAGCTCCTCTGTACAGAGACTGATGTGACTGTGGGGGGAGGGGACATTAGAGGGTAAGCTCCTCTGTACAGAGACTGATGTGATGGGGGGGAGGGGACATTAGAGTGTAAGCTCCTCTGTACAGAGACTGATGTGACTTGCTTTGTAAATGTCAGATAGATGGATGGAATATACAGTATCTTACAGAAGTGAGTCCAGCGTTCTCATTGGATGATATCGTGTCATGTGACGATGCAGAAGAAATGACCCTTTGCTACAATGTAAAGTAGTGAGTGTACAGCTTGTATATCAGTGTACAATCCGGGGCCCCTGGCAGTGTATCAGTGTACAATCCAGGGCCCCTGGCAGTATATCATCCCCCCCTGACACTGGTCACTTCTTGATGACACTTTGTGTGAGTCGGATCTCCTCTCTGATATTTCTTCTATTAGTCTAATCTGATACGAAACAAACTCCATGTGTACCTTCTATCATTGTGTATGATTGTGTATCCTTTGCTCCGGCACATTGTATCAGCAAGCTGTAGAATCTGAGACATTGACGGAGATCTCTGGATTTTTATGATCCAGCCATTGGCTGTAGCAAGTCAGGAGATCTTATGAAAAGAAGTGTGACAACAACATTTCTGCTGCCCCTGAGAGCCTTTGAATAACAACGCGGAAGCATCAGAACATTCCCAGGCAAAGGCGCCAAGCATGCAACCAACATTGGACATGTAAGCGTGGGATTCTGATTGGGTTGGCTGAGATGAGACGCCACATTCTTGGATTTTTTTTTTAAAGGAGAACTCCATGAAATATCTCCTAATGCTTGCCTGGAGTGCAGCGTTACCGCTTACTCTATTCCTCCAGCCCGCGAGCTTTTTGTTTCTGGTCCCATCAATGGGACTGTCACGATCTGGGATCAGGCTCGGAGTCTGGTAGCTGAAGCAGCAGGCAATTGGTGGTGTAACGGCCCGGGTTCGGTACACAAGCAGAGGGTAGTGGTGGAGGAGCAGGCAGAGGCGTAGTCAGTGAACAAGTCAAGGTCAGGAGCCAAAGGTATCGGTTATGAAGCGGAAGACGATGAGAGTAGTCGGTGAATCAGCAGCCAAAGGTCGGTACACGGGTAGCAGTATGAGAGGATTGAATCACAGAGGGAGCAGGAAGTAAGATAATGGCAAACAGGAAGTGCAGAGGCATGGCTTAAATAGGAAGTTAGATAGAAGTTAAATAGAATAGTTCAGCAGAAACTAGGTTTACCTGAGGATTACACAGGAGATCAGGCAAGGTTCTAAGGTGGCTCAGCAGGTAGATCCACTGCCAGCTACAGCAGAGGTCCCGGCTTCAGAACCGGTTCCTGACAGTGGGACACAATTGGGTGAGCCAGGTACAGCACAGGAGAATGGAGAGCATGGTGTATGGTGGGAGGGAAAGAGAGGGTGGGGGAACTAGGGGCTATAATGTATAATATTATATAATTCTCATTTGAGTATCAGGACAACTGCTCCTGTGGAACAAATCTACCCAATAAAAATAATTATTGGATATAATGGCGTGAACTAAAATGTATCTGAATGGTGATGACAGCCAAAGGTTCTATTTCCTGATAGATTCTTGTTTTTTTTCCCCACATAGATCCTCACTGTTCTGATGTTCAGTGCGCTATAATAGTGATCCACAAGAGCTGGTTATGCTGGCTTCTACCTCTACCTAGCCTGCTGCTGTGTTCATCTGTGGGCTTTGTCTCCTGCATCACCTTCTACCTCCACCTAACCTGCCGCTATGTTTATCTGTGGGCTTTGTCTGCTGCATCGCCTTCTACCTCCACCTAACCTGCTGCTGTGTTCATCTGTGGGCTTTGTCTGCTGCATCGCCTTCTACCTCCACCTAACCTGCTGCTGTGTTCATCTGTGGGCTTTGTCTGCTGCATCGCCTTCTACCTCCACCTAACCTGCTGCTGTGTTCATCTGTGGGCTTTGTCTGCTGCATCGCCTCCTACCTCCACCTAACCTGCTGCTGTTAGGGAGGGAGCGAAGTCCCCCTGTTTGCTGGGTTGGACCCCAATAGCAGGGAACAATACCAGAAGCAGAGTCCAGGCTGAGGTACAAGATGGGATGATCCAAAATGCGTTGTCAGAGTACAGTCCGGGGCGAGGCAGGCAGCGAGTATCCTAAACGGTGAGGGGTCGATAACCAGGAGATCCAAATAGCAGGGAAAGGAGACAGGAAACAGGAACTGAGGCGTCGTAGCTGCTATGGGAATGGCAGAATAAAGGCGCCCCATACACCTTACAACTATCTGCAGCTTTTCTGTGGTCAGATGGAAAAAGTGCAACGGATCGGCCCAGGTGGAGATCACTCCATACACACAGGTAAGTGCAGGTGGAGGAATCTGTCGCACCTTTTCCATCTGACCACAGAAAATCTGCAGACAATTGTAAGGTGTGTGTGGCCGGCTTTACTCAGCAACAAGTCCTGGCTCTGGCCAGGAAAGCCACAGGTCCCTGCGGACCAATGGGACGGCTGGGAGAGAAGTGCTTGCAAGGCCCTCCACCGGCAATGACCCACACCTGAAGCGACTAAGAAGCCACGGCAGTGCCACATGCGCATGTCACGCACGCAAGCATGCGCTCATGTGCACACCTGCAGCCGGGCACCAATACAGCCCAGGATGCTTTCAAAGCTGACATTTCCTTTTCCCTGGGTCCTCCTCACCGCGCCCCCCCCCACCTGCAATGCCCCCGTGATAGTTTCAGTGAAAGGAGTCTCTGTGACCCTCAGGAGACATTTTGGGCCCATCGCACCCTCAAAGAGCACCAAACATGACCTTCACCCCCCTCCCCCTCCTCCATTGAAATGATGTCATCACTCATTAGTGTTTAGCGGAGCTCCTCACAGTGACAGGAGAAGGGCTCCATACATAAGACACACAACGTGTCAGACTTTCCGATGTTTATTACCACAGCTCATACACAGCTCATACACAGCTCATACACAGCTCATACACAGCTCATACACAGCTCATACACAGCTCATACACAGCTCATACACA